GGAAGGAAGAAGCAGCCAAAGACTGCCATATAACATAATGGAAAATCCAGGCAATGTTGGTGGGATTCGAACACATTTCCTCCATGGTGATAATTTGGTAACGTTACCACCGGGCTACAACCGCCCTCTCTTTTCCTCCCTCAAATTAAACCCAACCCCTTCCCAATTTACACATTTTCAGTTATCTGTCATCTGTGACTGCTAGTGCTAATGTTGCTAGTTTTTGTTCTTTTTATTCCCTTCCTTTTTATTCAATACAAATGTACAATACAAATGATCAAGGAAATCGAAGTAGTCAAGCGGGATGCTTCCATGTGATGTGCAACGACAGAGGGAAGTTGGGCAACTTGCGGGGTTTGTTTCAAACGGGCAATCTGTTGGGTGTGGTGAAGGTGATCAAAAGTTCTTGATCACCGTCTCCTTAACTTTGCATTTCTGGGAATGTGTCCGCTTTCACCTTTAGATTTCATAATTTGGGGAGTTTCTTTACCATGCTGTGATCGTTTCATTTTTCTACTCTTCAGTACAGTGGAACAGTTAGCTCGACTTCATATGCGAGACCCGATAGTGCTAACCACGAAGCAATTGTCCACCGGACATATGCCTGCGAAGTTAGTCCAATCCTATGCAGTTGTTCCTCTCGACAGGAAGTTGGATACACTTTGGGCATTTCTACAGAGTCACTGCAAGAAAAAAATCATTGTGTTTTTCTCGACACAGAAACAGGTATGTCGACATTTGTGACACTAATCTGCCGTGCACGTTTTCCTAATCTTCCTGTGATTTGTAATGTGTGTAATGGTAAAGCTGTTTCCCTGATGGGGCCGGTTATGATGATGATTTCTTCTTTGTTCTGTCTGCAAACTTTCTCGTATGAAGATCTATTCATTGTCGTTCACAACACAGCCGTATTTATTTCGGTTGATTTGTAGTGCAGCTTGAGCAATACTGATAGCAAATAATGGAAAAATTGCAACCAGTTGGCAAGTAGATGTGAACCCAGTTGGGAAAATTTGTGGCTGTTTCATACAAAATATAAACTCCATAGAAATTCAGCTGTTGATGGAGTGTTTCATCTTGTAAAGCTATAGATACATGATGGCAGTAACTCATGGTGATGGTTACAACCAAACCTCAGTGGGCTACTTAGTGAAAACAATTCGGAAATCACTATTACAACTGCGTCCACAACCGCAGGTCTGGAAACTTGCGTATTTCGCGGGATGGAGCACCATACCCTGTATACCTCGGAGTTTCTCAACCGTGGACAAGAGAAAGCAGTTCCGATTAAACTGCCGGGTTCACGAAGATTTTCAAGGTCGAGTTTATGCAACTAGCGCATAGCGGGCTTCACCGGAAAGTGACTGGAAATCTATTTAATTTGTTTAAAATCGAAGAGAACATACTCGCATTCAACTTGTTCTTGATGTTCTAGTCCCCCTCCCAAAGTGCAGTTTACATCACAAACTTGATAGACTCGATACGTAAAAGCCTGGTTCATCCAATAAAGAACCTAGGAGGGCAGGTGAATTATTCGCTTGTGGACAGTTGTTCTGGTGCGCATTACATGACTCGTGTTCGTGAAAAAAATGCTGTTTGCGGAATACCCCATCTGTCTATCAATGAATTGCTATATGAGGTTTGACCGTACTAAGTACGAGCTATCAGGTTCACTCGAACATCACAACTCCAACTCTTTCTTCACCCTTTACGTATTTATCAGGTACGGTATGTGTACGAGCTGTTTCACAAACTCAGACCCTATTTCCGGATAGTGGAGTTGCGTGGAAACATGTTGCAACTGAAAAGATTTAAAGTATACGACCGGTTTGCATCGATCACGACCGGCTGTGTTCTTCTGGCCACCAATGTGGCTGAAAGAGGTCTGGGTGAGTATGTCATTTTAGGCAGTATTTTCTCGCATCAGTTTCAGTTTGAACAGCCATAAACCATGCACTTTCGTGCGCCGGTTTTGGTCTTTTGTCTTTTGGCTGCCCATTTGGATGGATAATAGGAGAAGAACAGGAAAGTTGAAGGTAGAGTTGAAGAGAAAACTGAGAACTCCAGTAAACTACGGCTGCAAAGAAATTAAGGAGTTGCAAGAACGCCACTGTTAACGACACCCAGCCATATCATTCAGTGTCTCTAACCAGCGGGTACGATCTTCTCGAGGTCCCCAGCCAGGGAGTCTAACGGGACCCATGTGACCCAGTCCCCTGGTCAGGGTTTTCATACCCTCGTGCCAGGTCTTAGCTTGGTCACCCTTCGACTTTCTTCCACTCACCACTTGCCTCGCTCGCCGTGGCAACCTATTTGGTAACATGCGTAACACATGCCCCAACCACTTGCTCCAGTGGGCTACTGCGGATACCCAAAACTCTGCGCCTAATTTTCTCGCATGCATCCGGACGGTTCAGATACGAAGCCGGATTTTGTCCCCCGATCAATTGACATTTGTTATCAGTTCAACTGTATACGCTTGGACTGCAGTCCTATTTTGAATAACTGAGAAACAACGGGGAAACATTATTCTTGGAAGCTCCCAAAAGCTTCCGGTTTGTACCTTTTTATTCGGAGAGCAAGCTGTGCAGGATTTGATAGAATATCGCCCAAGCGCAGTGATGGACCAATAACTAAGCAACTATAGAAACCAAAGCACAAAAGTGCAGGAGGGGACTGTTTCAAATAAGAAGCTGCACGTATGAAAAGGTTTCTACTGGTCGAATGGCCTTAGCGGTCGCAGTGCCCACCGAGAACGACGGTTCTTGAGGTCATCCTTTGCGGCGATAGAAGGACAGATCCCATAAACCAAAGATCTCCCATACATAAATGGTGATTTGACAATTTCCTATTGTTCATCTGTTCTGGAACACGAAGAGTATAACAAAGTTGTTAGATGCAAAAATTAAAATGCCAGCAAACAAAAACTAGACCCAAGGGAAACAGGACAATCTGTCATCAGTTGATGGTCATCGTGTTTCGAAAGTGTTGAGTAATATACAGTGAAATAAACCCCATGTTCAGTTCATGGATATGCATGAATCTCATTGATGTTGTTTGAAGTGTGAGATGGTAGGATGAAGTGCATTGACGAGTGGCCTTATCGTTGTGAGTGATTAAGGTTGAAAGCGTGGGGAGAGATCATTAATGAATAATAAATATAGGTCCAGAACGGAATCTTGGGTATAATGCCAGCAGAGACTTGGCCTCATCAACCCGGATCTCATTGGAACGGTCAATGAGTTAACTACAAGTCCATGGTAAGAGCTCTCGAGGGACACCGAGCATTCATTGGAGACCCAGATAGCGGGGTTGAGCAAAAGCGAGCCAATTGCGGAATATTCCGTAGGATTGAAAATAATTAATCTATGCTCCGGTTAACCGTTTCCATTCCGTACAGGACTAATTTAATTAGAATGGAATTTGTTTTTGCTGACTGCAAACTGTTGGGTTTTTTTATATTTGAGCGTAAATGCTGTTGTTCCTGCCATAAGGACACTATCCGTTACATAGTTGATGATAAAATAAATTGTAATAGATGGTTAGACATCAATTAAAAGATAAAAGGTAATGTATATGCTGTGTTAAGACGCTTTTTCTCGAATGATAGTGCGTTTCACCAATCTCTGAGTACGTCACACACATCACGCTCTCCTCTGGTGATTCATACACGTATTACGTATGCTTCGCTTTACTCCGGGTGGCTCTTGGGATGGGTTCAACCAAGTTTAATCGGAGTTTGGTACGTCAGACGTGTTCGCCGTTACTCGTCTTTGTTCGAGTGCGTACCTCTCCTCGTTGCGCAAAACAAATGCGGACTGCAGGGTAGCAGTATGTTGTTGTATTCTAGCCTTTAGCCCCATATGGGCCATTCAATGAATGCGGTTGGAACCCATTGCTTGGGCAGGTTTTCTTTGTGGCAAAAAATTTAATTTGCTTATTAAGAAATAACTGTCCAGCCTGTCATGCACCGTTTCACTAAGATTTTTGGATTTTCGTTACCCTCAATCTGGTTCATCCCAACTCGTGGAGCTTTTTGTTGGAGTGTGATCGTTTCCAAATGTCACTGGTGCGTTGACAGCAGTGACCAAAGTAAGGGAGTATTGTTCAAGAGACGCGATAGCTCAACAACTCGGAGATGTTACCCCTATCAGAATACCTGTTATACCTATTATACATGCCTATCTATTGACTTTCACGCTGCGCACTGCCCATGCTTCCAAGGCGTGATCGGACAAAGCAGCTTTTTGTCAGGTCTGCCACTTTGAGTAGGGAATAGAGAAGTACACACCGGATCTTTGGCTCATCCCAACTGGCTTTCCGGATCTTAAAGGGTATAAATGTCCTTAGCCTTAGGTTGGTGGATCAATTTTTTCAATAGGGTGAGTAATTTTCTGCTTGTCACATTGTATATTGTTTCTTTTGCCATCTGAAGTTTGTGTCGTTCTTAGGTGGTCACTGTATCCAGTTTTTCTTGCGTTAATATGGTTTTCTTATGATGGAATACTCGGTGATTCCACTTGATCTCCCCGCGTGTGTGAATTTTCTCCCAAATTTTATTCT